ACTCACTCACTCACTCACTCACTCACTCACTCACTCACTCACTCACTTAATTACTTACTCAGCCATATGTAGAAGAAATTATTGCTGCCCATCAATATGAAAGGGTTAAAAGAATTTGGAATAAGAATTTGGTGTCCATTACTCTAAAATCAGAAAAAGTATATTGTGGAAAATAATCAAGACAGTTCTCTAGCATCAAGCTGACAAACACTTAGGCTTGGATAATTGTGCTTGGGTGGTGCAGTGCTGAAATTTTAATTAGGTGATTAACCTCTGGGGGCAGGCAGTCTGTAACAAATCTGTTTGAAATTTGCAGCATTTTGCAGTTTGTGTCACAATTTCAACAGTATCTGTCATGAGTCCCAAACCAAAATGTCTCAAAAGGTTTGATGAACTGCTATTTTCAATTTAGTTCAAGACCTTATTGAAAAAAAATGTATCATCTGCTTTCTTTCAAACACTCATTTTGTTTGTGTTATTATAATTATTGAGAAATTGGCAGGAGACTAACGAGTGAATACTGTTCCAAAATACCATTGATCACACATGAAAACCAACTACAGCAAATTGAGCTTAACCCTAAACCTCTTTAATATATTCTGAAAACTGACCATATTTTGGGACCCACTCCAAAAGGGACAGGTGGAAATCTTGCCCAGCATCCAAATTCATTTTCAAAAAGTTAATTAGCACTGACACGTGCTAAGGAGGCTAAGGAGGGCCTGTCTTGCACTTAACACACCTCATATAGTCAAACCAACATACATTTTAGGATATATAAAATTGAATTTAATTTAAATTTCAGCAAATGTTCCAACTCTTAATGTAACAGTAATAGTATATGTTGCTTCAATTATATACTAAAATGCTATTTTTGTGACAGAATTTTTTTGGCATTCCAGCTGTTTTCCTATTAACATTTACTGTTTAATAAATTCACATGTAAAATAAATAAAATAAGAAAAACTTGTTTATATCAGGAAAACTACTGCTTCTACTACTTCTTTCATGATAAAGCACTTCAAAAACCACCACAGTGGACCAAAGCAACGTACAGAAGTATAAGTGCAGGGCAAATAAATGCTTAAAATAAAAAATGGCAAAACAAGGTCACACGTGAATGTACACTGATATTTATGTTCAAGCATTTAGTTGATTTTTCATTTTGATTTCAACAGCTGTCACTGGTTTACAAATAATTTGTTTTACAAAAAAACTTGTGTGAGGTTAGGTTTTCCTTAAGGAAAATTAAGGCTTCTTGTCCTGATTTTTAAATGAAGGTTATCTGTATTTCCTTTACTTTGATGATGTTTCCTGTTGAGCAGAGATTTCATCTGGTAAGTGCTTTTGGTTCCCCCGTAATCGTCACCCATTAGCCCATAGATCATATTCCTAAGCATGAGCAGAGAAAAGCTTGAGACCCCAAATAAATGAATGTATTTACATGCAAATTTACAGTGCACTAAAGTGTAAGGGGTCAAGCAACAGAATCCCAATAATAGAAATTCATACATGAATAAGCCTTTTGGTGAAACAATACATTTTCACCTTATGCAAACTTCCACAAAACACAGCTAATTGATACTGAGGTTGAGAAATGAAATGGAAATAGATATGATGGACAAAAAGCACACGTTGACGAAACTCAACATCTTGCGTGTTTATTTGACTGCTTGTAGCATGTTTATTATATTCAAAACTTACAGATATCTGTCATATTTGGTCTTCACTTCTGTCTGCAAACTGTAAAATGGTAAGCACAGATAAAACTTTTATGTTCTCATGATTAAATGGGAACAGCTGATATTGGTACCGTGCCAACGAATACTTAATTTTTTTAGGTACTTTGTCATCCGGTACTGTTTTTTGGGAGCTGTAACACGCCAGAGAATAAAGTTAATCTGACCTCTAATTGCGTCCTGGGTGGGGCTTTTCACTGTGGATCCATTTTCATCATCAGCTCCTCGGTTCACCGACTGCATCTACAATACATGAAACAAGGTTGACATCATAATCTTTCATCATTGTGCTCTGTAATAATGTACTTGATGGATTATTTCTTCTTGCAAAAGAAACATGGGTCCCTCTAGAATTCTAGCTTACAATGAAAGCGTAACCTTCATAATAGAAATCACAATAACCAAAATAGGATGTTTTTCATCCCAGCTCTTTTCTTCATATGGTCTGTTTTTGCTGACATCATGCTGCCAATACTGCTTTTCGTGAATGATTTCTATCACAAAACTTTTAGTTTTGTGATTTCGGAAGGTCTTTCGAAGGTCATGCATTATGTCATAATTACCTACAGCACTGAACAGTTCTGAAAAGCCATAATGCTCACTAAAGTGTCCTTCACTTTACTGATGGGTAAAGTGAGTAACATTGCTCATCTTGTTATAATTCAGTATTCTGTGGAGACATCCTAAATCAGATTTTCCCAAGTAAAAAAGAGTGACAGCGTGTATGAATCTGATCAGAGTAAGAGTTAAGTTACCTAGTAACATTCTATATTAATCAGCAACGCAAACACAGACAGATATTTGCAGATTGCTTGAATCAAATAATGTGGATTAATGTTGAGATGACACCCGGAGCAACATGGCGCAGCTGTCTATGATGCCCTCTTGATATCTTAAGTGAATCTACTGTATTTTCTTAATTTGGAATTTAACAAGTGCTTGCCCTGTGTATGCTGCACAATTTAATCACTTAACTAATGATGCCGTAACAAAAAATGTACCTTTCGGTCCACTATGATATTGGAATGTCTTTGTATCTCACTTAGGGACATTCCTGGGCAGGGCATCGAGATGCATGCACGTACTGCATCATGGGACTCTCTTCTCCCCACAGAGCTGAAAGAAAACAGTTAATCAGCAAAGTGCAGACTGCAATTTATGATATTGACTCCAGATGCCCAAAGTTATTCAGATACATTTCTCATCCAGCAACTGGAATGACTTTGTCTGAAATGTGCTTAAACACATTTCATTTTGCAAGTTAATGAGTCTAAGGCAAATAAAATTGAAAAAATCATGCAATTCAAAAACAAACAAACATACCCCCTAAGCGGGCAAGAAGGAAATTATAAATAAATCCACTTTGTCAAGCAGCAGATCTCAAAGGAAGAGTCATTTTATTGAGTGTTCAAAACTTTAAAAACTGGTGAATTTCTTACCAGTCTTTTCCATCGCTTTTTCTTCTATCTTTCTTTTTTTCGGACTTTGAATTCTTTCCTCCCAGAATTGAAGATATCTTTTGCTCTCGCTTGTCTTCTTTGATTTTTGGTGGATCAGTCTTTTTACTGCTTGGAGCGGGGAGTTTACTTTTGCGAAACCCAAACCAATTTGCAAGGGTTGAACCAGACTTTTGCTTCACTTCATTGGTTCGCTCCTGTTCCTGAGACTTGTGCAGGTTCTCCTCAATTCCAAGCATTACCTTTTCTTCAATCGTAGTTATAGTGCTTTGTCTCTCTGGTTCCTCAGACACTGGCTCCCCAAAGGCGCTAGAAAACTGTTGTTCAATTTGAAGTCGCCTTGCCTGTTCTCGCTGGAGTTTGAGATTTTGAAGTCTTTCACTTGAGGACCCTAAATGTGAGGGAACTTCAAGACCCTCTTCAATCAAGAAGTTGTTTAAAAGGGAGCGATTCATTGGTAAATGGTAGCTGCTAGAGCAGCTCATACTACCTGGGAGGACATCGCCTAGAGAATTCAAGGAGGTTCCTGATTGTGTTTTGATCTGGGTTCGCAACTTTCCAGGTCTGTTGAAGCTTGGTCTCTCCATGTAGCGTGCACCAAAGCTCTGGCTACGAGCTTTGGCTCCATTCATACCCATCACTGGCTTTAAAATTGGTCTTGTAGACACAGACACAGATCTTTTAAACAGCCACCCCTCCTCATCAAATCCCCAATCTAAAATCACACCACTGTCTGATGGAACAGCTCGAACGGGTTCAGAATCCAAAGAATTGCAGCGGGTCTCAATCTTTCTGTGGGGCTTGTCCTGTGCAACACATTCATGAATCATTTGGGGGTCACATTTAAATGTCTGGAAGGTCTGGGCACTTTTTGTATCATCTTTGATTTGATTTCCAAAAAGCAGGATGGTAGTTGTGTCTTGTCCAGCAATTGCTTCATGAGATTTTGCACTTACAGGAGATCTTTTTACATGCCTTGAGGTGGAAATCTGAGGATTATTTGCAATCCCACAATAGTAAACATTAGAATATGCTGTTGGCAAGACTTCTGAAAGTTTTGGTTCACTAATACTCTGTTTGGATCTTTGCAGGATATTCTGACTTGCTAACAAAGAGGGAGCTCCATTTTCTTGAAAGCATTTGTTAGCTCTTGCTGAAAACTGGTCTGACTCTGAGATTGGTGATTCTTCATTTGGAATGAGAGGTAATATTGATGAATGGCTGTTGTAGATTTTGTCAGAGATGTCCTTACATTCAGCACCAATTGGTGATGTTGCTTCATGATGGTCCTTTATCATGTTGGATTGCTTTGTCAGTGAAACAGGAGCGCACTCTTTTGATTGGGTGTTGGCCGATGATGATGCTGCATTCCCTGATGCAGAGTTCTGAGCTTGATTGGGCAATTTGAGCTCTTTGGGTAAACTGCCAGAGTTGGGCTTAAAGAGTAGAGATGTAGTTCTACCTGGAGGTGGTGGTGGAGATGGAGACCTAAGGTCTTCTTTGTAAATATCACACCACTTTTCTTGGCGTCGCTGTTTTCGGGGTGAGCAGGGTAAGTTGTCATACATACTCTCCTCTACAGAGTCAGTACTTGAGAGTCTAGTGATTTGCAATGATGATTTATTTGGACTGTTTGAGTTGATTCCTTGAGACTTGAGTATCTTTGAATGTTTCACTGGAGATGCAAGAGGTGAGCTCTGCTGAACAATCTCAAGAGACTTGGAGACTTGTTGAACTGTAACAGTCTCCTCTTTCTCATCTTTGGATGATGAGGTTATGTCATGCATTTTATTGAGATTTGTCCTTTTACTAGGAATGTTTTGTGCCGAAGCATTTGTACTTGACTGTCCTTTGGACCTTAGACCTTTCATTAGCTTTTGCTGGAGAGGAGAATGAATGTGCCTGGCCTGGTCTCTTCCTCCATCTGCACTTTTGCTACGCAAAATAAAAGCTTTCCTTGCAGAATCACAGAGCTGAGATTGGGGTTTCCTTAGTGGTGATTCTGTGTGACTTCCAGCTTGACTTGTCTGGTCCCTGCAATGATGAATCTCCATGGAAAAGCTGCGGTGCCTCGCTTCATTCATGCAGCTCAGGAATTTTGTTGCAGTATGCTGAATAGATGTGCCAGCATCATTTGTCTCTGGCTCCACCTTCATGATTGATATTATGTCCTGTTGTCTTTTGTTATGATCAAGTCTGGATTTACGTTCAGTAGATTGTTCCTGGTTATTATTTCTATCATTGAACGTTAAGCCTGATGAGTTATGGTTTTCAGGTGAGTCATTGTTCATTTCTTCTAGATGTGTAAGGCAGTCAGTTGGGCTTACACCAGGTTTGACAGTAGGGACCTCCAAAAATAAGAAGTTGTCAGAGTCAGGTGAGGGGAAAAGCTCAGAATTCCTTACGTCTTTGAGAAAATGTTTGCCATCTTCCCTCGTGACATCCAATTTGTCCAAACAAAGATGTTCTTTGGTTGGTTGATCCTTGGATTTTCCCCTACCTAATTTTTGAGGTTCCTCACCAAGGTCTTGGGTGGAAACCCCCTCTGCAACCTTGAAAGGTGTACTTGTTGGGGCTGCTGTCCTCGCTATGGTCTCTTTTTGGCCACACATGAGACCAACAGGATATATACCTTCATTTGAGGTCATACAGTCTTTGCAGTGTGGTACAGATGCAACTGAGGACTCTTCTTTAGAGCTCTTCATCTGACACTTTAAGCCTTTGAAAATATGTGCTTCTCTCTGCCACAGGTCCATTTGCTCAGTAGGTGCTGAATGATTGCTGGACATGGAGCCTGTACTGATTCTTTTGTCCCGGCTTGTGGCAGACTGTGCATAGCATAACATTTACAATTATTAAAATTGTAATTATATAGTATTCTGTAAAAAATAATATGAACAGAAGACCAACCACTTCACCTGCTTTGAGAAACCATGTCCTTCTGCCCAAGTATAGGAGCCATTAGAGTAGTCACCGCAAGCACTGGATGGAGCTGCTTCACTGCCACTGCCACTACTGCGTGGACAAGTTAGACTCAGATGGCTTGGCCATCTCCCTGCAGTAATAACTGCTTTTCCATTTCTTGGAACATCCTGTAAATGAGTTATTTATATAATTAATCACTGGAAATCACACAAATACATGAAGTGATGGATGTTGCAAACCGTCTAATTGTACAGTTATACAAGCATAATAGTGCAATAAGTCACAATTAAAAGCATGATGATCTACATTTGATAATGTACTCATTATATGATAGACCATTATAAACCATAAATTTAATTGACTTGCCTGATAAGTCATGTTAATATGGCTCAGACATTTTTTCATCTTTCCTCCTCTTGACATTATAGTATTTGGATTTATTTTGCAAGCTGAAGCACCATAGGTACTAAGGGTAGTGCTCCATGGCTCTCTATATGTCTACAAAACAATCAATACGGTGTGTACAATGCTATCTTATTCAATCAAAAGTATAATTGAGAATCAAGATCATATTTTCCACACCGCTTGTTTGATGCTTTCTGTTTCAAAATGGTGTTTTCCTCTTACAAGTGTACTGTGATTGCTTTAGTTGTTAAGACCGACTTTTTAAAACTGCTCCCACATGAAGGCAAACCATTCAAAGAACTTGAGATTGTGCTGGGCAGAAACTACAAGATGATCATAACTTTTATTTGTATCTCTCGTTTGGACTAACTTTCCACTACAATCTATGATTATCTGAGTCTGTATATTCGGGATCATGTGGCCCATCATTATGGGTATGTGTACACAGCATGTGAGTCAGTGCCAGCATAATGATGGGCTGAAAAAGACAACTTGGTCCCAAAATCTAAAGGTAGTGTCCAATTTTAGTGTTGTACATGTTATGTTGAAGACGGTCCCAAATCTACAAAATTTGGTTTCATAAATCGAAATTTCCAATATAATGTATCATATGCTAGGCACAATCTGATTCTATTATTCTTTTAAATATTATCTATTTCTTTCATCTATTTTGAACAATTTTATCCATAAATAAATTCTATTCTTGATTTCATGTAATTCTCAACAACAACAAAGTCAAATATTTTCTTTCAAAGACTGTTGTTTGGTTCAAAAGACCACATATTTATGAAAATTCTTGAATACAATAAAAACAGAAGTTTCTTACTCATGCCTGCTGGCACTGTTCACAATGTTGAATATGCTGTTTTCATCAGACCCCAAAGGTGTGAAATGTTTTGACTCAGTTTTAAAAAGATGTTGATCATTTGCATTTCTGTCATGGCCAGTCTTTCGTTTGTGCATTTAGCAGATGCTTTTATCCAAAGCAAATTACAAATTAGAATACAAAATGGAATATATACAGTACATGTGCATCTCCCCCATCGGGGAATCAAAGTTCGCTCTCCCATGTGGCAGGTGTGGAAAATCAACCCCATGCTAGCAAGGAGACCAGTATGTCATTAGTCATTTGTTAGCAATGATTAATGTGTGTAGGGGAGTGTAGGGGAGCAGGGGACAACAGTGATTTGCTCCTTTCAATGATATTCACTTATTATTTGATTGTCCATGCTAGCAATCATTTTGCAAGTACTGCCTCAGATTATCATAGAAACTAATTACAGATACAATTATCAATTAAAGAGCTATCTGAGATTTGATAAAAGCCGTAGTTTAATAAAAGCAGAGGCAAATGTGCCTAACCAAAATACTATGTGCCCATTAGGCAGGCTTTTTTTCTGCTGCACTAAATTGAGACACCCTTCAATTAAATAAAAATGAAAAAAATGTTTTAGAATGAGTTTTTAAGTAAGCCTTTTAAATCCCAAAACAAGCTTCTCATGTGGATAAAAAAGAAGAGTCCTTATAAATCAACCGCATAAATCAACCACAATCTGTTAATATAGAGAGTACTTTCTCTTCTGAAAACCACAATACTAATGTCTTCAGATAAGTTCAGGGCAGCCATATACATGACCATTATGCAGGTTATATATTTAGTTTTTAGAAGACATTTGAAACAAAGTGGCTTACAAGTAAAGAAACAACATTAAAGCAAGAGGGCACTAAGAAACTAAAAAAAAATGCAAAGAGGTGCAAGTAGAAGAAGTAGAAGTGGGCTTTAACTGTAAAGAGAGAATATATTTTCTGGATATATAAGTCCTCAACAGACTCTTGAAAGCAGAGAGGTATTACGTGAAAGATTCTTCAACTATCTTGGATCTACAAATAATGGATTGAGACTTGCCTTCTGAGTATGGATAGAAGTATTCATGGGAGGAATGCAGTAGTAAAGAAGAAAAATTCTATGAGTTTAGATAAATTGATGTAGATCCCACAATCCCCATGTAGGCAAATGTTTGTCGTTTCAATTAGCAACACACGGAGACCCACATTCATACAGTTATGTCTACCAAGCAGTTACCAGGCTTCACGGGTCATAGATGGCACAGTGAATACTATACTATATACAGTCTATACTATCAATAACATCACTCGATCTGCCAACTTCCACTTGCATAATATCAACTGACTCTGTCCCTTCCTCACCCCCAATACTGCCTCCATCCTTGTCCACAGTGGTGGACAAGGATTGTTGCAACTCCTTTCTCTTCGGTCTCAAGTCTCTCCATAAGCTTCAACTGGTCCAAAACTCTACTGCACGTGTCATCACCAAAACCCCTTCTTCCATCCATATGACCCCTATCCTACAGCAACTTCACTGGCTCCCAGTTACTCTAAGAATCCAATTCAAAATCCTTCTATTCACATTCAAAGCTATCCACAATCTTGCCCATTTATACCTGTCTGACCTCCTCCACATAGTCACTCAGGCAGCATTCTCCCTTAGATCCTCCTCTATCCCCGACTTTGGAACTCTTTGCCATCTGACATCCGAAATACCGACTCTCTCCCTCTTTTCAAAACCAAACTCAAAACTCACCTGTTTAAAATTTCTTACCCACTTCACCACCCCTAACTGTAACTTTCCCCTCATTCTGCACAGATTTATTCATTTGCACTTTTATTTATTCATTCACGATGTTTTAAATATGTTTATTGTATGTTTCTTATGTTTTGATGTTGTGTAGATGATAATGGTCCTTGTAAAGTGTCCTTGAGTGGCATGAAAATTAAATTTATCATTATTATTACTGGCAAAGAGCAGTGGAGTAAAAACAACAGAAGCAGACTATTGAAGCTGAAGATGATGGCCTCATCACCACCAATCACCTGAGAAAACACTCAAGATAAGAAAATCCCTAACAGTGATGGATCGATGATGTATCAAGGCTCTACTTTTCTTACAGTAAATAAATCTAACAGAGGTTGTTTCATTTCAATATAAAATGTACCTACAATTACACTAAAATAAGTTAAATCATTAACTCATTAACAAACATGTAATGTAATGTATGCAATGAAATGTAATGAAGACTTGAGGTTAAAGTTCATTTAAATGTAACAGTCTTATCAAAATTAATGAAGGCATACAGGGCTGCCAAAAGTACAGTTATGGTCATTCATCCACTCCTCGGACTGGTTTATTTTTATTGTAGTATTTCAAACACTGTTCATCTTCACTGCTTTCACCCTATTCGCAATCACATGCATCCGCTACCACAACTTCAACCCAATGTCCTCAGGCTCTTGGTTATTCATACTTCTTACTCGTGTGTTATATTGAAAAGAAATAAAGGAAAAATAAGTAATGGGTAAAATACTGACGGAAAAGACACAATGCCTCACCAGAAACTTCCATTATTTTGTCCCTGTATTCTACATGTTAAACATATGATGGGACACTGAATTTAGCGCAGATAGATAGATAGATAGATAGATAGATAGATAGATAGATAGATAGA